GCCCACCCCAGTACCTTCCCTATGTGGTACTTCCTCTGTAAGTCCATAGGTGGATCTTCACATGTTACCTCCCCATCGGGTAGGATGTGATCTCCGTAGTGCCTTTTTCCCTAGGGGGAATAGTCACTGTCCCAACGTTACTACCAAGACTTTTCAGCTGTTATATTATGGTGAGTATTACTATGGGAAAAGGCTCCGGCTGAGGGGACCTCTGCCTCTATGGCGGCTCTCCCGGATGTTGGAGAGTGAGGTCTTAAGTCTTGGGCATTTTGCATTTGGTTGTGACATGTTGGCTTGTCAACATCTGCGCCCCCGTAGACTCGTGATGCAGTTCGGCAGTTGTGGCATTTAGTATAGGGTATATATATATATAATATAAATATATTTGCTCTGTCTCTCTGCTCATATTTCACTGGTGTTAAAGGCTCATGCTGTCGGAAGCTCACTGTCTCATTACAAAACACCCCTCGCTCGCTCTCTCTCTCTCTCTCTCTCTCTCTCTCTCTCGCTCGCTCGCTCTCTGAGTCTCTCTCTGTCTCTCTCTCGCTGCAGTAGGGTTGGTGTGTTATTGCGGTGGGGGTTGGATCTGTGTGTGTGTGTAAAGTGCAGGTTTCAGCAGGAGCTCACACACCATTGTCCTCTCAGATCACACACAGAGAGAGAGAGTGTGTGCATGTGTGTGCGTGTGAGTGTGTGTGTATGAGGACGCTGCATCTTCCCACTGCAGCACTGCTGATGTTCCCGCTCTGAGGAATTCCCTGTTCTGGGATTGTGCGCGTTTGGAGGGACACTAATGGCATCGGAGCTGAACGTCGTGGACGGATCTGCCGTACGGAATAACGCGAGGTGTTTTTTGTGAAAGCGGCTCTCGTGTGTGTGTGTGTTGGAGAGGCAGGCATGCGGTCGGAGCGCGTGAGTCGTGTGTGTATCGTGGTCCTGGAGGAGGTGGAAGACGACGAACCCTCCCCTCTGCATTCCAAAGCCGCCCCGGACCACATTTCCCAGAATTCCTCTCAGGACGAGAAGGTGAGGTGCTGATTTGACTGCAGGTGGATGATAATGGTGTGTTTGTGTTTGTTGAGTGTGTAAAGCAGCGGTGAACTTCAAAAGAGCGAGAAGAAAGTCGAACTGCTGCTTTAGTAGCTGCGTGTCGTGATCCATCGCCGTTATTATCTGCAGACAGATACAGACACGTTCATCCGTCTCTGTCACATCTGATTGGGGTTTCCAGGTGAGGTCCAAAAATTCCCTTCGGAAACCCGGGATCATGTGACTAGGAGCGAGTTGTGGACCTTTGACCTGGATGAAAACGCAGCTGTCAGCAATAGGACACGCTTTACACGCAGCACACATTCGTTCATTTAAAATATACTGTCTTTTATAAAAATTTAACTTAACTCGACATGGCATGAGATGCATCGGAAAGGCCAAAGATGACCATCAACAATTGCAAAATATAATGTGTGAACAAATCCTTAGGCCGGAAACACACTTTACACAAGTACTGTACAAATGCAGACATAAACAAACCTCGTGCACTCTTTGCAATTTGTTTGATTCATATGAAAAGATTTTTCATGAAGTGAGGCCGCATTTAGTATTTAGATAACATTTAAAAAAAAATTAATTCATACATATATATATATATATAAATATTTTTTTTTAATCAAACATAATTGGTAAAAAACCTTTTGTAAATCGTTTTATGTATTTTTGTTTTTTCAAAGATAAAAACCTTTTGTAAATGTTTTTCTTGTTGAATTTGTCTATTCATTCATAATTTTTTTTTTTTATTTTATTTAATTTTCTTAAAAAAAATTTTGTAAATTGTTGTTGAATTTTATCTAATATCTATTTTAGATTTTTTTTATTTTAGTTTTTTTCAAAGATAAATTACAAAAATTAATTTCATAGCAAATTTATTTTATATCAAAGATAAACTTTAAAAACCCTTTGAATTTTTTTTCCTAATAATTTATTTTAGATTTCGTCAAAGCTAAACTTTAATCTATTTTGTTTATTTATGCACGTATGTATGTATGTATGTTTTACTACATTTTAGCCTGTCGTACAGTTACGTTAAAACATTCACATGCATATTGTTGTTCTGTCTTGACTGAATTTGACCTACAAAAGAAAGAGAGGAACACATTTTTGTGCTAATGCTCACTAGCAGTGTTGTGTGTTTTTGTTGCATTGTGGATTGTGGATTGTTCTCACACATTTCAAACCAAAATGCATAATGTATAGCTAGAAGTGTTTGTATTTTTGATCAGTGAGTTACAACAACAGTGTGAATGGAAACTGTAGACAAATTAGCAGGATAATCATCAGTTTAGTGGATGAACCGGGACGGGCAGGTTTCAGTTCTGTGGATTTAACCAGCTGGTTTTGTCCTTTAATAGTTAAAAGCATTCTTTGAAGATCAGTCTAAGTGGTTCTGACTGATTTCAGGCAGTTTTCAGGAGCTTCAGGCTAAAGTTTTTGCTGTTGTAACAGACCACGTTTCCTTAAACAGAGGAAAGCTGCATTCTTTCTTTTACGACGTTCCCTCCTGTCTTTCATTCTCATGTCTGTTTTCAGCTGCTGCATCATGTGTTTGTGAGGCGAATCCACATACAGGTTGTGTGTGTGTGTGAGAGAGAGAGAGAGAGAGAGTTTACAAGTAGTAATTGTTTACTCTCTCAGAAAAAAGGTACAAAAGCTGTCACTGGGTTGTTCTTTTACGACGTTCCCTTCTGTCTTTCATTCTCATGTCTGTTTTCAGCTGCTGCATCATGTGTTTGTGAGGCGAATCCACATACAGGTTGTGTGTGTGTGTGTGAGAGAGAGAGAGAGAGAGAGAGAGAGTTTACAAGTAGTAATTGTTTACTCTCTCAGAAAAAAGGTACAAAAGCTGTCACTGGGTTGGTACCCTTTCAAAAGGCACTAATATGTACCATTAAGATACTAATTTGTACACTTTAGGTTAGGGCTGCACGATTAATCGAATGCGATTGTCATGCGCATTTTGTTAAAAAAGCCGGTTCTGTAATCAGCAGGAAATCATCATCACGTGCTTTCAGATGGAGCAGCATTTACTACACATAGCCGTAGTTCACTGACAAGTTACGCAAAAAAATCGCAGACGATTTTATTGCGCGATTATGAAATCGAAGAAATCGTTCGCGATAATGACAGCTGTATGCATAACTTCTCAGTGAACTACGGCTCTGTGAAGTAAATGCTGCTCCATCTGAAAGCATGTGAAAATACCACATTTAATAACATATTTTTACTCCAAACTCACTTCATAACGTCAGTCGAGTGTTTGAAATAAATCCTTCTGTGAGATGATGTGGCTTCTTACACAGAATAAGGCACGCAACATATTTCATAGTATTTAAGCAGTGATAAAGGCATTGCATTATAAATATACTTCATTTTAATGAAAATTATAATAAGAACTCAGATAAACCGTATATTGCCGCAGTCGTGTGTTTATTAGTCACGTTGAATCAATGAAAGCAGCTGAATCTTCTGTTTATTCAGCTGCAACGATAGGCATTTCCGCGATTTCTTCTGCGAGGCGTATTTGGAGTTTCAGCGTGAGAGCGCCCTCTGGCCTTCGGATGGAGATTTACTGCTGATCACAGAACCGTGCTTCACTGAAAGATACGCATGACAATCGCAGCTTCTGTCGAATCGCGATCTTGATTCCATTTCGATTTATCGTGCAGCCCTACTTTAGGTACAAATCTGTACCTTTAAAATAATGAAATGCACCTTTTAGTGGTAAATAAGATCCAAAAATGTACCTTCTTAAAGGTTATTCTTCCGGTGACAGCTTTTGTACCTATTTTTCTGAGAGAGCTGCGTAAGTTGCGCTTTCAGTGATTTCCTGTAATGACACCTGAGAGTGGAGTGCGGGGCAGGTGGGCGGAGCCAGGTGGGGCTGGACAGGGTGGGGCTTCAGTGTTGCCTGTCCTTATTTGGAATAACTTTGAATAAAGATATTTAATGCATGTGCTTATTGGGATTGATGCAGTGTTATTTTAGTATTATTTATATACTGTTATAGGATTGATTAATGTTTTGAATTAGCTTTTATTTTTATATTTTCCCTTAATTTTGTTTTTGTCATTATAATTTTTTGTTTCTTTTAAATATTTATGCTTTTATTGTAGTTATAGTTTTTTTTTTTTTTTAGTTTTTATTTATTTCCAGTTAATAATTTTAGTTCTTAAAATTAAACTTATTTCAGTTAGTTGCTAAGGCAACAATTCAATTTTTTAAAAATGTTTGAACTAATGTTTTTTATTTTATTTCAGATTCATTTCAATTAGCAATAATGTTTTAATAGTTTTAGGTTCTGTTTTAGTGGCTTGTATGCTGTAAACACATGCCAAAATAATATTTTCACATGCTGCAGTTATGATTGATATATCAGTATCAGCCAATGTTTATTTAAATTAATACGAAGCAGATAATGTACAGTGTGCTTTAATTTATTTGTTCATTTATTTATTTATTTATTTGCTTCCTACAGTACTTTTTCTATGGCCGGTTTCTGTGTATTTTTTTTAAAAGCATCTTTTGTGCTCCATATTTTTACATTGATTAGGATTTGACTGTTTTTTTAATTATTTATTAAAAATGTATAAAAACCATATCTACATATCTCAATAGATGAATCCATGCATAGTATATTCCTCTCCTAACCATGTAGTGTCTTAGATAGATAGATAACCATTTACACTTAGAATCTAGAATTGTGTATGCTTTGCATGCATAACTTCATCACTCATTATTCTTATCATCAGTGACAATGTAAACAATTATTAATGCATCCTCAATATATTCCTTTGACCTGGTTATAAATCTTAATTTGCTTAGTATAAACTGTTGCTTTGATTCAGTCCCTATTTTGTTTAAAGCAACTGAGCGCAGATGGACAGTTTGTCCATATTCTCACGAATGTTGTTAGAACTGATTTCATTTACTATTAAATACATTGATTTCATGCTGCACTTCAATGATTTTTTCTCTTTGGCATGCTGATGAATCAATGGTTTCTTGTTTTCTTCTCTCTATAATAAACCTCTTGACGTCTGATTCTCAGAATTTCTTTTCTGCATAGATTAAACAGTGTTATATTCATTTAGTTTCTTTTCATCTTCACACAACATTTAACACAGATGCTGTTATTTGAGACGAGCTTGTCATAATTTGAGTTTTGATTGATATCAGATGTGTTGGTTTGTCTTTCAGAGTTAAAGAAGCTCTTAAGTATTGTTTGTAACCCTTTCTCCACAGCCCTCTCTGATTAAAGCCATATTTAACGGGGACGCAGATGAAGTTCGCTCTCTCATATTCAAGAAAGAAGACGTCAATGTACAGGTGAATGTCCATTACTTGCAAAAACACATGAACTGTCCCTTGAAGTTCTCTAAAAGTGGTAATTTTTTACATTTTATTGCATCTGGCTGGGTTTTGTGACCAGTTTATTGATTTCTCATTGATGGATGATCTTGGAAACCCTTCTGAAATGCACGCAGAGGCCGTTCTTGTACTTTATTTCTCCTAGTTTCGTAATGGATGTTTATCCGAGAGGTTAATAGGCTCTCATGAGCTTGCATTTGGACTGAAGAGGGTTTATTTTACTGCTCACTGTTTAATGTGGAGTCTGTTTTCATCGCCAATGCCTGGAGAGACGCCCATTCCACTGCCAGCCAATCAGTGATGGGCTGTCGGGTCACGTGACTCGGTGTGGCTTGGCCTCCTGTTTTCCATTCTCATTCCAGACCAGATGGAAAACAGAAGCCTGCAGGGTGGCATGCCACTGAAGAATGAATGATAGCCGCTCTTTAGTAATTGCCTTTATTGATGTAAGTGTCAAACATCCCGGTCGCTTTCCTCAAGCATCTAGAGGAACAGTTAAAGCTGCAGTATAGGTGTTTGCAGTAGATCCTGGGGACCTGAAACAGAGAACTGTGTATGTGTCTCATGTTTCTGCATGCCGTCTCTAGAGATCTGCGGCCGCATTGATCTCTCTCTCACACACACGCATACAAATGCATCACTGTGTGCCATGCACGAGAATCCAGTGTGTATCATGCAGTATAACACACACCCTGCTGAAACCGCACATACATCAAACACTTCCAACTAGAGAAAAACTCATGCAAATCAGAGGTGAATCGCATAAACATATGTTGCATAAACAACAGACTAGTATAAAACCACCAGCCTCACTCTGTTTTGAGCAGAAATGAGACTGGATGCAGTAGTTCTAGAGTATTTGATTGGTTGATGTTTCTCTTGCACCAGTCAGCAAAGGATTTTAAAAAAATCAATAAATTAATATTTTATTCAGCAAGGATGCATTGTTGATCAAAAGTGACAGTAAAGACATTTATAATGTCAAGTCACCATTATTTATATAGTGCTTTTTACAATGCAAATTGTGTCAAAGCAGCTTTACAGTATTAAATGGGGAAATAGTGTGTCGAAATATGGCGCTTTTCCACTGCGTGGTACAACTCTGCTTGGCACGGCTCAGTACGGCACAGCACGGTACGACACGGCTCGGTTTGCGTTTCCACTGCAGTTTAGTATCGCTTTAGAGTGGGCGGGATTATTCACATGCCGTTATAGTTGCGCCGCCTCTACTGCCGCGACTCCTGAAAAACTTTTTCATTCTGCGTCGCCCCATCAAGTTCTCGCTGGATCCGCTCCTCTGCTATCAACGAGAGGAACGTCTGTACTTCCTCAACAGGGGGAACAGCCACTTTTTAGTTGTTAAAAAAAGGTGCGCTCGTTCAAAACAGTTGCGTTCGATTCTACGCTGGCTGTGCTGATTTAAATCTAGCGGTTCTGTTGTGTTTGTGTCGCAAGTTCAGTGACGCAGGTAGTGACGATTCTCTCCGGCCAATCCGTGATCAGCAGAGTTTAAACGTCACGTTTTGGTAACGGTACGGTTCACTTGGAACCTCAACCGAGGTGGTACTAAAAAAAGTACCAGGTACTATACCCAATGGAAAAACCCCCAAAAGTGAACCGTACCGAGCCGTAACGTGCCGTACCATGCAGTGGAAAAGCGCCAATAGTGTGTCTTTCTCCTCTGGCCAGACAAACCCAGTTTAAATCTAGGCTGCAGCAGAGTCCGATTGTGCAGAGGACTCATCTGGTTCCTTTTTGTAATGTTACAAAAGATTTCTATTTCAAACAAATGTTCTTTTGAACTTTCTATTCATCAAAGAAACCTGAAAAAAAAAATGGTGTCCACAAAATATTGGGCAGCACAAATGTTTTCAACATTGATAACAATGAGAAATGTTTCTTGAGCAGCAAATCAGTATGTTAGAATGATTTCTGAAGGATCATGTGACACTGAAGACTGGAGTAATGATGCTGAAAATTCAGCTTTGATCACAGGAGTATATTACATTTTAACATATATTCACGTGGAAAATGATTATTTTGAATTATAGTAATATTTCACAACTTGTACTGTATTTTTGATCAAATAAATGCAGCCTTGGTGAGAGACTTCTTTCAAAAACACTGAACCATCTTATCGACCCTAAACTTTTCAAAGCTATCATATTTGCTGAAATAGTGAAAATAAGTAGATTTTTAAACACAATTTTTCATGAACTGTTGTGTTTGTGAATTCTCAGGACAGTGAGAAGAGAACGCCGCTTCACGCTGCTGCTTACCTGGGCGACGCTGAGATCATAGAGCTGCTCATCCTGTCAGGTATGAAGGGTCATTTCCACCCCAAATGCTCAGAATGAGCTGGGAGAACCCAAACCTCGAGTATAGTGACTGAAATATCAGCCAGATTTATTAATAGACCAATATTATGATAGAATTTGGATTGATGGATAAATCTACACTACCATTCAAAAGTTTAGGCTCAGTAAGATTTTTTAATGTTTTTGAAAGAATTCTCTTCTGCTCATCAAGGCTGCATTTATTTCTGAAATATCAGCCAGATTTATTAATAGACCAATATTATGATAGAATTTGGATTGATGGATAAATCTACACTACCATTCAAAAGTTTAGGCTCAGTAAGATTTTTTAAATGTTTTTGAAAGAATTCTCTTCTGCTCATCAAGGCTGCATTTATTTGATGAAAAATACAGTAAAAACAGTAAAAATTGTGAAATATTATTATAAAATTATTAAATAACTGTTTTCTGTGTAAATATATGTTAAAATGTAATTTATTTCTGTGATCAAAGCTGAATTTTCAGCATTACTCCAGTCTTCAGTGTCACATGATCTTCAGAAATCATTCTAATATGCTGATTTGCTGCTCAAGAAATAGAAATATTTTGTAACATTATAAATGTCTTTACTGTCACTTTTGATTAGTTTAATGCATCCTTGCTGAATAAAAGTATTCATATCTTTAAAAATATATCTTACAGACCCCAAACTTTTGAACGATAGTGTACAACTATTTGTGTTTTTCATCTAAACAAAATACATCAATCATTTAAATACAATAGAAACCACCTAGCAACACCTTAGCAACCACTAACGACACACTGACATTGTGTATATAAAATATGTAACATAAATGAATTAAACTGCAAATAAGTCATATTTGTTGAGCACTACACCAATGACACACTGACAAAACACACACATCATGTGACGTCTTGAATTGGCCGTGTGTAAAGGAGGAGTTGTTATCATGAATGAAAGAGTAAAAGTAACAGGTGCTGCCGTATTTTAAGCAGCAGATGTGATCACAGAGCATTTTGGGGGTTTATTTTGAACAGGCTCACAGGAAGCTCCACGTGTCCTGCTTGAGCTGTGACATTAAAAGTGTAATTCATTCACGCACACATCCTCCCTCCCTCTCTCTCTCTCTCTCTCTCTCTCTCTCTCTCTCTCAGGGGCGAGAGTGAATGCCAAAGATAATAAATGGCTCACTCCTCTTCATCGGGCCGTAGCTTCCTGTAGTGAGGTACGACACGTCCTCCAGCGTCAGAACAACAGATATAAACAAATGAAATGGCTTTCAAGCTCATTAATGTGATTGTGTGTTCAGGAGGCTGTGCAGGTGCTGCTGAAACACTCGGCGGATGTGAACGCACGGGATAAGAACTGGCAGACACCGCTGCATGTGGCCGTGTCCCATAAAGCCGTGCGCTGCGCAGAGGCATTAGTCCCATTGCTAAGTAACGTCAACGTGTCGGACCGCGCCGGACGTACAGCTCTACACCACGCGGCCTTCAGCGGACACCTGGAGGTCAGGCGCTCAGTTTTTCACTATCTACAGATCAGCAGATGCTCAATATCTGCCTGTGCTGGATGTGAGACGTTTGCACAATATACTGTGTGTCATAGCAGAGTTCATGAGACCAGTTTACACCAGGAATGAAACGAAAAGCGAAATGAATTGCAAATGAACAACATATTAACACCAAGAATGCAACAAGAAAGTCTTTGTTCATATACTTTAATGCGAAATACAGAAAGCCATTTAATAATATTAGTTTCACTCGTGTTAATGCATTGATATGGTCATTGTGTGATACAGGCCAAAACCACTAGTTAATTGCTTCTATTTTGCATTTTTCTAATCTCACAAATTGCGAAGTTTGGCGTCAGTAAGTTTTTTGGGGTTTTTAAAAAAAAAAAAAGAATACTTTTATTCATCAAGGATGCATTAAATTGATCAAAAGTGACAGTAAAGACATTTTATAATGTTACAAAAGTTTTCAGTTTCAAATAAATGCTGTTCTTTTGAACTTTCTATTCATCAAAGAATGCTGATTCCACAAAAATATTGGGCAGCACAACTGTTTTCAACATTGATAATAATCAGAAATGTTTCTTGAGCAACAAATCAGCATATTAGAATGATTTCTGAAGATCATGTGACACTGAAGACTGCAGTAATGATGCTGAAAATTCAGCTTTGATCACAGAAATAAATTACATTTTAACACATTCACATAGAAAAGAGTTATTTTAAATTATAATAATATTTCACAATATTACTATTTTACTATATTTTTGATCAAATAAATGCAGCCTTTGGTGAGCAAAAGGGACTTCTTTTAAAAATATAAAAACGTTTAAATGGTTGTGTACATTTATATTTGAACTCTCCAAACAAACTGAGACCATCTCAAAAGCCATGTGATCCACAGCTAGTTGACACATCCTTAAAGCATTTTTAGGTGTAGATCTAATAGGTTAGTTAAAACAACCTTTGCATGCCATATCACTTCTGTTTGCTGGACTGGTTTGCTGTGTTTTTCATATCTTCTTTCTGATTGGATATCAACAAATCCAACAGATTGAGGTCTGTCTAGAATGCCGCTGGCAGATACATGACCCAAAAGCTGATATATTATTGATCGGTGAGGTATTTTTCTAGCACATAAGGGAAAAAAAGGACCAGCTCTCCAAACGAAGTCAAATAACAACAAAGATTTTAAATCATTTTAAGCCATTGCTGTCCTGTTGAAAGTGTGCTGCTGAGGTCCTCTAGACTAGATCTAAATAAAACATCCAGTTTAGTGTTCATGGTGTACTCTGTGGTTTCTCTGTCACTGCAGATGGTTCAGTTGCTGGTGTCCAGAGGTGCAAACGTCAATGCTTTTGATAAGAAGGACAGACGAGCCGTTCACTGGGCCGCATACATGGGTGAGACGTCAACATCAGGATCAACAGAAAACATGTTTCCATCAGTCTCAGATCAGTGTAGAGCAGATGGATCTCTGTCTGTCGCAGGTCATCTGGAGGTGATGAAGTTTCTGGTGTCTCACGGCGCTGAGGTTTGCTGTAAGGATAAGAAATCCTACAGTCCTCTTCACGCCGCTGCCTCCAGTGGAATGATCAACGTCGTCAAATACCTGCTCAATCTGGGCGTTGATGTAAGTAAGCTCCGCCCACAGCAGATAAAGCTCCGCCCCTTGGTCGCCAAGTGAACTGTGTATTAATGCTCTCATCTTATTCAGTTGCTTAGTTCATTGACTTTAGCATGCATAAGTGTGTTTACGAACACTTTTTAAGAGTCGTACAAGAAAAACCTTGACCCATGGTCTTCAAAATCACTTTGTCAATTAATGCCTTTTAAATTATATTTATAATTTAATATGCAATGTATAGCCAAATCGACAAAAGTTCAAATTATAATATCAAATAACTCATATTGTTATACCCTGTTTTTCATGCATTATAAAATAATTTAAATCACGTTCTGTTGTAACAGGATATATGTTTATCATTAATATTTTAGTCATCCAACAGATATTAAATATATAATATAATCCAGTGGACTATGTTAAATGTATTAGATTGTATTATTGGCATAAAATAACTGTTTGACATAATAATTAATCTACATTTAATAATTAATCTACACCAAGGCATTTATTTGATCAAAAATGAAGAGTAAAAAGATCAACATTGTGAAATATTTTTACAATTTAAAATCACTGTTTTCTATGTGAATATATTGTAAAATGTCATTTATTGCTGTGATCAAAGCTGAATTTTCAGCATCATTATTCCAGTCTAGTGTCACATGATCCTTCTAGTGGCTTAGTTTAATTCTAGTTTAATTTGACTGTATTTACATGGCTTTGATTGTGACCGCCTTGACATCATGATTACTAAAAACCCAGCCAGCTGACTAAAACAGCACCATTAATCATGTGATCTGTGTCTCTCTCTTCAGATTAAGGAGCCGAACTCGTATGGAAACTCTGCTCTGCACCTGGCGTGTTTTAACGGGCAGGACGTGGTGGTGAATGAGCTGATCGAAGCAGGCGCTGATGTCAATCAGGTGAATGAGAAGGGCTTCTCCCCGCTGCACTTCACCGCTGCGTCCCGCCAGGGGGCACTCTGTCTCGAGCTGCTCATCGCCAACAGAGCCAACGTCAACAGCAAGGTCAGAGAGTCCTGCAAGAAAAACCCTCACCACCTCTCAATATGTCAATTAAAGTCTTTAAACTATATAATCAGACATGTGTAGCCAGTAACACAAATGCCCTTACTACACACAAACATTCATAAAATTGACACCATTAATGAAATGAAAATTAAACAAATGACAGATGAGAGCAGAGCAAAATGAGAAAGTCTGGATGTTCACATGCTTTAATGCAAAATACAGAAAGCCATCTGATTATATAAATTTCACTGATGTTAATAGTGTGATACTGTCCAAAACAACTAGTTAAATGTCTCCATTTAGCATTTTTCTAACAATATTATAAATTGCAATACAGTTAAAAAATGTTTGGTTAGTAAGACTTTTTTTAATTTTTAAAGGGGTCATATGATGTTGTTAAAAATAACATTATTTTGTGTATTTGGTGTAATGAAATGTTTATGCAGTTTAAGGTTCAAAAAACATTATTTTCCACATACTGTACCGAATACCCGTGTTTATTTTTGTTATGATAGGAATTTTTAAAATACCGCAATACGGTATATGTCGCTTAAACAACGTTCGAAACGCGACACTGTTTGAAAGGGGTCGATTTCGCCAGTGCTGTCCCGCGAACGCGAGGTCTGACTTTCCTCTGACACCTCTCTCGGCGTCTGTTCTGTGCAGTGAGCAGTAGAGAAGCAGCGCATTCAGTTAGCCGCACTGCAGCCGACTCGTCAATAAATGAGTATGTAGCGAATCAACTCATTCATGGGGAAATATGAATAATTAATCATAACTAGTTATAATTAATTATAAATATTTAGATCCGC